CGGTCCCCCATTCCCCCATTCCCATCCTCCCCTCCTCTCCGTCCTCCGCCTCCTCTTCCTCCTCTTCCTCCTCCTCCTCTTTCCCATACTCATCGCCATCGCCGAACTACGATCGAAGACAATGCACACCAGAGATTGCTGATGGTAGATGGCAGCGAGACGCGCGACGCTCACTCGCCAGTCGCCCCGGGGACCTTCGCTCAGCGGAGCTGTCGGCGCGGCAGCACGTGTCTGCACTGGGGGCGCCTGGCTTCGGAGACATGACACCCGAGAGGACACAAGACCCTTCCGACGACAACATGGCCGCAGAGCACCACAAGACATGCGGGTTGCACAGGTCGGGATAGGCAGGACACAGAGGTACAGTCGGACCCAGGCCAGAAGAACATCCCTCGACGACCCGAGACCCTCCGTCGGCCAAAACAAACAGATCCTCCAAGGGTACCCTCCCCAGGATGCGCAAGGACATCCAACCAGCACCAAGAACACGAGGGTACCCTCCCAGAACCGACTCGATCTTATACCCCGGTCAGACCTGATCCTGGACCTGGCGTGGTCGACCTGCCGATCGGGGTCGGCTTTACCTCACACTCCACCCCAGCGCGGCGGCAAAGCACCAGCTGGCGCCGCTTCTCTCGGCGCCGGCACCCCACGCGTGGCAACGACGCGCACAGCGCCGCGCACGGGCCACTCCCGGGCGAGCTCCTCGAGTCCAGTGCTTCTTCTCAGCCTAAGCTGCGGTGCTCGGTGTCGCTGGCCCCTGCCTCATGCCAGAGCCCAGTCCCCGAGAGGAAGCAACTCCACGTCCTCGGGCGCGGCCCGAAAACACCACTTCCGGAGCCCCGACCGCCCAAGACGGCCCCCTAGACAATGCAAGAGGGCCCCGAATCGCCGAAACATCGCTCGAACCGCCCAAGATGCCCCGAAGACAGTTCCAGAAACCTCCAAGACGTCCCCAAGTCTCACCCCCCCGGATCGGCAGCACTGGCCGGAGGCCAGCCCAATAAACCATCCCCTTCCGCGAAGTCATCCTCGCAATTCAGTCTTGGGGCGAGGCGAGGGGGGCGTCACGCAAGGGGATGGTTTGCCAAGGGTCGGTTAGGCCGCCCCTGACGTCCTCCTCGTCCTCCTCCAGCTTCTCCACGTCCCTTCTCTTCCGCCCCGCGGGAGCAGAGGAAGCAAAGGCTGCAAGGACAGAAACAAAAGCCTTCGAAGGCCCGCGCGCCCTCGCGCGCGGAGCGCGCCACGGTCGGCGCTGAAGCAGCCGCCAGGGTGGTCCCTGCGGCGACCCAAGAGATCCGCGCGGGGGCTCGAAAAAGTATGTGCATCAAGGCGAAGCCAGGACGCGGATACATTCGGATGAGAGGGGGCAGTGGGAGTAGGGTTCAGATGTCGCCCCCCCAGCGGCGCCTCTGGCGCCGCCCCTAGCGCGCTCCGCGCGCCAGGGAGGGGTGTCCAGCGCGGATCCAAGAAATCCGCGCGGAGCGCCAAAAGTGTATGTTTAGGACGTGTTTTCCTCTTCGAAAGAATCCCTGATCGGGGGCGCGCAGACATGGACTAGCAGTCCACGGATTTGGCGCACGGTCGCCAAATCCATGGATCGGGGGAGATGCCCTCCCCAAAGTGCGGCCGGTGCCGCCTCGGTCGGTGGCGGAAATCCGCGATGTCCTATGGGAACGGGACCGGTCGCTGATCTACGCCCCCGTGATCCATGTTTGCGATCGCCTGGCCTGAGACCCCAGGACGTACATTTGCTTGTCGTCCCCTTTCGGTCTGGGTCAGGGGCTGCGGCTCGCAGGCCGGAGGGAGCTTCAGCACGCTATTCGATGCTGGTTGCTCCCGTCTCATGCTGCAGGGACCACTCAGCGCCACTGCTCTGGACGACGGCAGAGGCACGCTCGGTCCCAGGGCGCCCTCGTGGTCGCCGCCCCGCCGTCCCTGGACATTTGCTTGTCCGGTGTGGGAACCGCACGCTCTCAACCGCCACACCGGCGAGGAGCCCGACGCGATGTCCTATGGGAACGGGACCCGTCGCTAATCTACGCCCCCGTGATCCATGTTTGCGATCGCCTGGCCTGAGGCCCCAGGACGTACATTTGCTTGTCCGGTGAGGGAACGGCACGCTCTCAACCGCCACACCGGCGAGGAGCCCGACGACGGCTTACGCGGCTGGACGTCCCCGGCGCCTCCCGGCGCCGCGGGGCGCCGAAAAGCGTCGAGGCGAGAGGGGCCCGGCGGCGGAGCCAGGAGGAGGAGGAGGAGGAGGAGGAGGAGGAGGAGGATAGGGAGGAGGAGGATAGGGAGGAGGAGGATAGGGAGGAGGAGGATAGGGAGGAGGGTGGGGAGGAGGTGGAGGGGCAAGGTGGACGGGCAAGGGAGGAGGAGGAGGCCGAGACCAGCGGCAGGCAGCAGCATTCGCGGCTCCAAAACCTCCCACGAGAAACCCAGCCCGGAGACCCCCCCAGGACGTCCGCTGATTCCTTGGGGGGGTGGGAGCGGC